GACGCAGAGAAGTGGGCGGAGAGGCGGCGTACGGGGGCTGCGCGCGACGAGTGGCACGCCGACCGCACGCGTCGCTGGCGCCGCATACTGGAGGATCTGCTGCAGGACGAGGACGACGAGCGGTACTACATCCGCGAAGACGAGCGCGACGCGCGGAGGAGGATGCGACGGCAGGCGGTGGAGCAGTCGTGCGAGATTGCGATGGCGCGCGACACCAGCAGCAGCGTGGGTGCGGTGCCTCCGCTGCCGCGACACCAGCAGAGCGGTGGTCGAAGCCCGCTAAGTGAGTCGTTGTGTCCGCTTGCTGACGAAGAGATGATGCGGCAGTTGCGGCAGAGAGAGCTCGCGAAGGAGGAGGAACTCATGGATGCGCAGTCGCGGCTGCGTGAGGCTGAGCGCCGCATCGCTGAGGAAGTCGAGCGCCGCGCACGGACGGAGGAGGAGCGCCGTACGGCCCTCGAGGAGTCGGCATTGCTGCTGCGCGACGCAGAACGGCGGGCGGAGGAACGTATACGCCACGCGCGTGAGGTGGCAGAGCAGCAGGCGGCGGAGGAGGTCAGCCGCGTGCGGAATGCGAGTGAGCGGCAGGCTGCACATGCCGCGACGTTGCGCGCGATTGAAGAGGAAGAGAAGCGAGCAGTCCTTGAGGCGCAGCTGCGCGCGGCGGAGCGAGCGCTGAAGGAGGCGCAGCTGCGCGCAGATGAAGAGGTACGTCGTACGAAGGCAGAGGCGGCGGCAGAAGCCGCGATGGAGGCTCAGCGTATCGCTCTTGAAGCGGAACGGCGGCTGCAGCAACACGAGGCGCAGCAGCAACAGCTGCAGCGACAGCAGGTGGCGGAGCGTAGTGACGAAGCAGAGCGGCGACTGCGCAACATTGAGCGGCAGGCACGCGAGGCAATCGCGGACGCAGCAGAGGAGGCTAGGAGTATTGCTGCAGATGCACAGCGGCGGCTAGAGGAATTAGAGGCACGCCACGCTGAGCGCGAGGCCGCCGTTGATGCGGCAAAGTTGAGTGTGCAGGTGGCGCAGCAACGCATGCGGGAGTTTGAGGAGTTGCAGCACAACGCTTTGCAGCGTCCCCCAGTGTCTGGGCAGCCCGTAGAGATTCCAGCAGCACCAGTAGCCGCCACCACACGAGCAGCAGACCTGACACAACGACAGCAGGAGCAACAGCAGGGAGGAGGAGCTCCCGCCGTCGCTGCGGTGCACCGCGACGACGGTGTCGTGGGTGTGGTATGCAGCAGCGTCATTCGCGCCGCTATTCGTGAGGCGGTGGATGAAATTGTAAAGGCCACGAAGGAGGCGTGGCAGATATCGGAAGAGGCAGAGCAGCGGCTACGGCTAGAGCGGCGGCGACTTCGGCGGAGGCAAGCGGAGCGTGACCGAGCCGAGCAGGAGTTGATCGAGGTCGAGAACGAAAGTGTTCTTTGGGACGAGCTGAACACCAGCACGAGCTACGCGTGCGCGAGCAGCCGGCGGACGCCTGTAGAGGCGAACAAAAGTGTCGAGACGCCGCTTTGGGACCTGCCACCTCAGCCTCGTAGGGAAAAAGAGGATCAAGAGCAGCATTTGCCCTCTTCGCTTCCGACAGAGCGTATATGCCCCCGGTGTTACCGCAGTGACACAACGGCTTGCGCAATGTGTGCGTCGCGCGTGTGTGTTTACTGCGGCCCCGCCGTCGCCCACAGTCGGTGCTGCGAGATGCAGCACCTCAGCGCGGTCAACACTCGGCGCCGGCAGCTGGCAGAGAAGCAGCAGCAGAAGAAGAAGGAGCAAAAGCTACAGCAACAACAGCGGTGGCAGCAGCTGACGGATGACGAAAAGGTGGCCGGGCCATCGCTGCGGGACGCGCAAAACAATGCGGCGGCGCAGAGGCGGCGGGACACCGGGACGTCGCCACTCGCTGTGCAGCGCAAGCTGCTACCTGACGAGAGCAGCGCCGATGAAAGGCAGGTGGATGGCGACGGCGAGGAGGAGGAGGAGGAAGAAGAAGAAGAGGTAATGGTGGTGGTTGACGTGGCAGGCAGGGCCGATTCGGTTTCCAGCGCTCCCGAGCCAAAGACGGAGCGGAAGCGATACGAAGCCTTCTTCGTCCCGCTGGGCAGCGATGCGGAGCCGCGGCGGCCGAAGCCGCCCACACCAAACAATTACGTGCCGGGTGTCTTTGCTGCGACATCGAAGTTCCCGAGGCCCGACCGGAGGAGTAGCCCGCCAGTGTGTCGTCCACGCGTCCACAAGCAGGATGCCTCCGCTGCTGCTGCACAGTCCACGCAGCAGCAGCAGCAGTATCGCCGAACCGCCAGCGCCCCCAGAGAACGCCCTGCAACCTTCGCCAGCAAACAAAAACAACAGCGGCAGGAGCATAAGCAGCCCTTTACAGCCTCTGCGCTTCCGGTAAAGGAACCGTTGATGATGGGCCGCTTTGGTTCGAGGTCGCGGGGACGTGCGGCAGAGCGGCGCCACATGCAAGACCCACTGGCCGGTTATGGCCGCTCGTCTTCGCCTGTCTACCTCGGCGTCGACCCGCCAGCCTGGTCAGGGCACGTGCCGCGGCGCTCGACAAGGCAATACTCCCCTCGTGAGCCCTCTATTGAGCTTGATGATGAGTTAGACTACAACACCTACGATGACCCCAGAGGTCTTGGGCGCACGTACTACGACGGAAAGCCTGTGCAAACTCTTGGTTTAAATTATCCGCCTGATGATGTGGCGGCAAGTGGAAGTCGTTCCTTCGGGCAGCAAAAGCAACAACAACAACAACACAGGGTAGCAGCGGCGGCAAGGCGGGACGAGGGCCACGTGAATGTGAGCCGTGAATGTGTGTTTGCGCCGACGCACCACGAGGTACCGGGTGCTGTGCCGCCGCGGCAGCGCCCTGAACCGTCCCTGTACGACCATCAGCGGTACGATGACTACAACACGCGCACCACGCCGACACTGCAGGAGCTGGACCACCGACTGCGCCACCTGCAGCAGCATCGTGTCTTTGACCGTGTAGATCGGCGCTTGCCAGATGAGCACTGCATGCGCCACCACCGCCACGTCAACGACGACGCTGTTGACTACGGCCGAAGCACAGCAGGTCGCCCCACCTCACATCGTCCCGCACCGTGCCCACATGAGCCTTGCATCACCGTTCACCTCTACCCCCGTAGCGGCCGCCCAGATGCACGAGGCGAGGCATCGCGGTCCAAGTCGCGGGTGCCGAGTTGTCAGCGGCAGTGCAGCCGTGCAGGCAGACGCTCCACACCGCGTGTCGTCTCGCCGCCGTGGCGGACGGATTACAACTCGGGGCCGCTGCGCCCACCGTGGAACGTGGAGCAGCCGCACACGTTTCTGGCGAAACCGTACAAGCGGAGTCTTCTACCCGCGGAGCTGTAACAGTGTTGTGAGGAGAGTGGAGAGGCATCGGTGCTGTCTCATTTTCTTCTTATTGCGTCCTTCGGCATGTGTTGGGGTAAGGGCAAAGGCTCCGGGAGAGAGGGAAAGAGTGCGAGGCTGATGGATGGGAAGCCTCTCTCTCTCTCCCCCCTCGCTCTCCAGATAAAAAGAAAAACGAAAACAGACAGAGAAAGCCATCACGTCCCCTGTGTGTGGTTCACTCTTTGGGACGGGGTGCATTTCTCACATCTCCACGGACGGAAGGAGATGGAGGAGAAACGGAGAAAGTGACAGGTGTATACAAGGGTATACATGCATGCATTTATACATA